CATACATACATACATACATACATACATACATACATACATACATACATACATACATTGTCCATACATCCATTGTCCATCGTTTATCTGGGAAGGGTCGCTGGGCGTGCCTGGAATGCCTCAACAGTGATTCGTCCAGGATCCAGGATACTACCAGTGATGCGGACCAAGCTCTGACACCAGTTGTACAGGGACCTAATAGCCCATATCAAAGTGCCTGGTATCCCATACTCCCGGAGCACCCCCAACAGGATTCCCAGAGGGACACGGTCGAACGCCTTCTCCAAGTCCACAAAACACATGTGGACTGCTTGGGCGAACTCCCATGCACTCTCCAGGACCCTGCTATGGGTATGGAGCTGGTACAGCGTTCCACGGCCAGCACGGAAACCACACTGCTCCTCCTGAATCCGAGGCACAACTATCCAACGGACCCTCCTCTCCAGAACTGCTGAACAAGCCCTCCCAGGGAGGCTTGAGAGTGTGAGTCCCCTATAGTTGAAACACCCTTTTTAAATAGGGGGACCATGACCCCAGTGTGCCAATCCAGCGGAATTGCCCTTGATGTCCATGCGATATTGCAGAGTTGTGTAAGCCAGCTGACTGGGTAGTGGTCAGTGGAAAAGTGTGCCCCCACCCAAAGGGAAAGGGAGGCTACCCTCTCATTCACTGGGGTGAACCCCAATGTACAGGTGCCAAAAGGGGGGCAAGAAGAATGCCCATTTCCTCTCACCATGGGCAACTCCAGAATAGAAGAGTGTCCAACCCCTCTCAAGTAGAGGCGAGACTGACTATATCGAGCCGGAATCTCTCCATCTCGCACACCAACTGAGGGTCCTTCCCCACCAGGAAGGTGACAGTCCATGTCACAAGAGTCAGCTTCTGCAGATCGGTCCGCCAAGGTCCCCGTCTTCGGTTGCCACCCGTGTCACATTGCACCCGACCCCTTTGGTCCCTTCCATGGCCCCCATCGTTAGGGGGACCCAGACACTCGCCAGCTTGCCCCACCTCCAGGCCTGGATCCGACGTGGGGCCCCAATGACACACGTCCAGGCGATGGAACAATAGATCCATTTCTGTTTGTCACCATAAAGGGGCCTTTGGGCTGCGCTTTGTCTGATCCCTCACCTCCGTCAAATAAGACTCCACATCTGGTTTGATTAAAGGGATCACAAGTCTTTTAATGGCACATTGATGAGCATCAAGTCTAATAAAACAGAGAAACGTATAAAACTTGCAGGACAGTATTGTTGGCACTGCTGTGTCTGGGTGAACGTGTATCTTATGCACATTCATCCAGTTCCACTTTTACATTTAACATACAGAAAGTCCCCACAATGTTGGAGTCTTTTTGGAGTCTCTCCTTTTTGGAGTCTTAAGTTCATAATCAGTTGCTCCTGTCTGATTCTCAGGAATGTCTCTTCTCTTATTGTGTTTGCTATTGATCAAAGAGGTAAATAGTCTCCTGGCTGTTGAACACACATTTGTCTCCTTCACTTCCTCACTCTGTCTTTACCTTCTCTGCCTTGCAATGTGTCAACACACAGAACACCATTCTTTCTTTTGTGTCTTACAAACAGGAGGCGATCATTTTATGAGAAGAATTTATTGTATTTTTGGGGCATAGCTGTCTGGGGGAGGTCTGTGTGAGCTTTTGCTTTGTTGTGTTGTCTATGAGTGGCCATGGTAACCTGTGATTATTTTCCCACAGTTGTCTGGGCCTAATATTAAAGGTGTTTAACTTATGTAACTGACATATCTGTGGTTCTTGCAGTCGGGGGGACACATACACAGGAGTAAATTAGGTCATTTTAAATTGGAATTAAGATAAATAAGCATAATCTATAAGGTTTAAATTTCTTAATCAAGGGTTACAGTTAATGTTAAGTTATCACTTAA